GATCGGAATCTCTTAAGCTATACCTCGGAATCTGCCGAGCTATAGATCGAAATCTTTTAAGCTATAGCTCGGAATCTGCCGAGCTATAGATCGGAATCTTGTAAGCTATAGCTCGGAATCTTTTAAGCTATAGCTCGGAATCTGCCGAGCTATATATAGATTGGAAACTTCCGAGCTAGAGCTCGGAATCTGCCGAGCTGTATATAGATTGGAATCTGCCGAGCTATATATAGATTGGAATCTTCCGAGCTATATATAGATTGGAATCTTCCGAGCTATAGATCGATCTTCGAGTTGAAATAGATCGGAATCTTGCTGTAAATAGATCGATCCTCCGTAAGATATAGATCGGAATCTTTTCTAGAAAAAGCTCAGTCGGAGCCCGCCGATTTGGATGTGGAGATGTGCCGATCTGGTGGCAACGAGGCTTCTGGAGCCATGTTGTTGGACATATGAATATGCTTCATCTCGGCTGGCGCCGAGGATACGCGCCTACCTCAGGTCGCATGATCCTTTCTTTGCGTGTTTCCATTTCTGTTTTTTTTTTTTTTTTTTTTTTTTCTAGGAGAAGGGCGACGGCCGTATCATCGCCGAGCTTACTGGCCCCAGGTGATTCAGGGAGCATTTCATTCATGAGCCAGATTCGAACCGCAGGTGTGTTTTTCAAGAGTCCATGGGTCTTACCAACTGGGCTGGGCCCGTTGGTCCCGTTGGTCTTTCACTGTTTCAGGTTTATACAGGTTTTATCATTCCGAAGGTGGTCAGTTTTTTAGGAATGATTCAGGGAGTATTTCATTCATCTTCCGTCTTTCCCCGAACACAACGCACCCTCATCATTAATGTATAGAAGCTATCTTTCCGGTCCGGTACAGGCAAAATGACGGTGCGTTATGTTCGGGGCAAGGCGGTAGTCGTGATCCGAGGAGAGGGCACGCGTGTTCAACGCTTGAGTGCAGGCCGATGTATCGCGCGATAGCAGTTGCAGTGCCGGTGTGTGCAGTACTCTAGGAAGGGTGAGCATCCTGGTTGTATATGACCGCTTTTCCGACCTCTTCTGGATGCACCGGGAAGGGATTACGTCCAGGAGAAGTGGAAAACGTGCTCGACTGAGTTTGATTATGCCCTGATTGGTCTCGGAATGGACTTTCTCGTAAGCCACGTTATGAAGAGCCAAAAAAGGAAGGGAAAAGTCATAAGACCTCATGAATCTGGATGCAAAGGAGTCAAACAGGACCTGCAGCACTTTTTTTCCCGTTTGGGAGGAAACGGATACAAAGGTTTCGTCGCGCCGGGGGGGGCGGTTATGACTCTTTTCTCAAAAAGGAATGGCAGGACACACAGGTGGGCACACACACCGGCAGTGTGCTGCATAAATGCGAGTGCATCAATGGCCTACTCCCAGGGCGTGGTGCGGATGTAGTAGTCTTCCTGGTGATCTGCATAAATATTTTTGCTGTGAAACTACCGGGACCTCTAAAGCTGTAACGAAAGATACATTTTTGCAACGAAACTTGGGCCCCGCCAATATTTTTGCTGCGAAACTTCACCAGGCGCGCTATTTCTGCAATTAACCCTTTTTTTAATCCTTGAAAGGATGATCGCCGCGACGCACGGGGTGGGGAGAGGAGCACCGTTGATAGTCTAAAAGAGAGAGAGAGAGAGAGAGAGAGAGAGAGTGAGAGAGAGAGAGAGAGAGAGAGAGAGAGAGTCTCTGTGTGTGTGTGTGTGTGTGTGTGTGTGAGAGAGAGAGAGAGAGAGT